TTTTTTTTCCCTGTGAGGAACAGTGGAACCTTATTGCTGTCTCTAATAGAGACAGTCAAGGAAGAAGAAAGTCAACTTAACCCAAACTGAACAAGCACTTACCTACTATAAGTAGTAATGAAAATTGTTCTCAAAAGTGCCTATTTTTTTCCCTGTGAGGAACAGTGAAACCTTACTGCTTTAAACATTTATTTTTTTTCCCCACAAACATCCCTTCTTGGATGTAAGAGTAACAAAAGCCTCTGATCCAGCTGACAGAACTTATACAAAGTCAGCTCTCAAGATAGAATTTGAAATTTAGACATGAAATGTGAAGGGGTTATCACAGACATACTAAGAAAATGAGAATTCTCAACAGGGTATTGCTGTTTAGTAGGAATAAACTACTGAACAAATTACCAAATCAGGAATAATTGCTGGTGTGCAGCTCTGTAAAACAGAGCACAAGGTTATAGAGGCCCCCGCACTGTAAGAGTCAATACTTCCACTACGCTGCAGTGAACAGCAACACACCAAGTCGTATTAGAGTGAAGGCTACAGGATGTGCATAGTTAATCCCTCTATCCTGATCAATGTCAAAACTGGATCTAGCATTCTGCAAATAATTTTTAACATCATACTTAAAAAAGATGAAATGGAGCAAGACCTCCCCGACATTCAGAAACAACACACGGAAATGCTCTAAAGGAAATAAATTAAAGCTGCCAGACGGCAGTTGCAAACGTGAGTGCTTTCAGAAGGCAGGATTGGGAAGGGAAAGGTCAGACTTAAGGCCTTCCCAAGGTGCCTCCCCACACTCACACTCCCACACTTGGCCCTAATCCCACCAGAACTTCAGACATGTACTCTTCTCCCAGAGGCTGGGATCACAATGACACAGGAATGAGTTTCACATCATTCTTAACTATGCGAGGGTGAGAATAGGATTTTGCTACTTTTTTTTTTTCTTCCAGTCCCTGGTGGGCAAAGTAAGATAGGACCAACAGTGTTATTCCCAACTACTACTTGCTTTCACAAAACTCAAGATGACAAATCACCATTTATCTACTGATCACCTTCTCATTTTTCTGCTTTTGCACATCTCATTTTTTTCTTAAAAACTCCTAGATGGTTACAGTTGAAACGTTCTATGACATGACACTGGTTTCACAGGGTGTGGTATAAATGCTTGATTTTCTTATCATTTCCTTTTAAAATACAGCTACCATTTACTTGAAGCCTCTTCTGCCAATCTTAGAGGTACACAATGTATTAGGAAGGAGTGAGTTTTCAGGGGTCAAAAATGCTCTTGTTGACTTCTGACTCTCAAAACTGCTTAAAATTGTTAGTGGACAACTTTCCTGAAGCTGTTATGGAATTACAAATATCTTGTTCAAACAACCATGGACATTCACCTGTTTATAATGCAATACAAGCTACTGAGAAATTGAAATAGAATGCTTATTTAGTCATTTGAAAAAGTTTTAATATCTCTTGAGTTATGGGAATTTCTCCTGATCATTTCAGATTTATCTTCTGATATTAAACTGATGGGGAAGGACATTTTAGTGTAACCGATTACCAGTAATCTGAGCAATCATCCACAATCCACCATCAGGATCAGGGTAATTTTTCTGTATTTCACTTCTCTGTGTTATCAAGTCTCATTTCATATTCATTCAGTTATCACCCTGGGGTTTTTTCTTCTTGCACAGCATCTAGGAGAAAGGTGCTGCAGACGTTAGAGCAACACCCAGAAGCCACAGGAAAATTTAGAATCTGAACACCTCCAAACTTTTCAGATCATGTTTGAGTAACTAAGTACATATCAAAGAACAGATGTATGTGCCAACTGGCATTTTTTCTGCTCCCAGTCACATACTTACCTACCCAAAATGCTCTGCATGGGTCTGGTACCAAAGCATCATGCATAAAATAAATCAAATTTGAAAAGCTGTTTTATGATTAGTACTATTGGCAGCATAATCTCTAGATATCTTCCTCTACAGTGACACATAAGCAATTAGCAATTCACACGGTTGTATGCTCTGTCACTCTTGCAGAGTATTCTACCCATTGCCACAAGCTTGCTAATAATACCTGTTTCCAGTGTAAGTTATAACCAACTCCACGAGTATCACAAAAACAGCCAACCAGACACCTTTAAGGCAACCAAGGTTCTTGAAAGCACTGTATCTTCTACTTTAACAACTTAAGAAGTGCCTTTGTATTAAGTACAGCATTACCCCCAAACACTTCAGGATGCTCCTGTGATTAACAGAATTAAGCATGTTTTATCCAAATAAGCCTATCAAAAAATCACAGGAGCTGAAACTTCAAAGACTGATAGAAAGTACTGCCTAAAGTACCACTCAAGAGAGCAAGTTTTAAGGGCATACAGAGCATCTCCCCCCCACTGTTGCTCTGACCAGAACACTGGAGTTACTGTTCTATCTTCCAGTGATTTGAGTTTATGCCATATTCAAAGTTGTCCCTGTATCATGAAACAATATTCAAGTGAGTGAAGTTTTAGAAATGCATTTGTCAAGCAAAACTAGTGCAAAGTAGCCTTTGGGGACCTGTACAAACACATCACCAAATATACTGGGCTGCTCCCAAAGTAACGCCTCTAGTTTTTCTGATGCTGGTGGTATAGCAGTAGAGGTCAAACCTTCACACCAGTATTCCATTCTGTTTTGTTACTGTGTGACAGATGACAGTGGAGGGGGGGGGCAATCTGACATCAACAAGCACACGAAGCAAAGGCGTGCCAGTGAATTTCTCCATGTAGAGTAAGTTTCACCCACAGACATACATGTTGCTTGCTGAATGGTTACAGTGACCAAACAATGGATGTGCACGGTGAAAGCTGGACTGTGCGGACAACAATTTCCTAACAACAATGCTGCCACTGTGAAACAGCAAGTCACCTCCACTGGTGCAGAATTTACAAACATGGCCCTTGTTCACGACTGGTGAAAACACATAGCTAATAGTAGTGACTACACCGAAAAACGGTGTTTTCTGCATGAGAATTTCCTGTATCAAAAAGCATTATTGTGTTCTTCATATCTGTTGTAGTTTCCATGGAAATAAATATTTCCACAGTATTACTTTCAAATCGACCTCACAGAAACAAGACTGCTGAAGCTTCTTTACAGCACTGTAGTGGACACTACCAGACTTCTATAGCCCTTTCCTTGAAAATGCAGGGGAATCGTTATCATATCAGTGAATAAATGAGTTAGAACAAGTTTACTCCACATACTTTATTCAAAATATTCAGAAATACTACCGTAAACACTTATCAAAATGCAAATTTTATGGTTGGAACTTCAACTGCATCCACAACTCTCAATCCCTCAAATGCCAAACAACTGCCACAGACTCTGACCTCAGCACAAGGGTATTCTGGTTCCTGCCCTTGCAGAACAGTCACTTTTTTTTTTTTTTTTTTTTTTACTCTAAAACAAGCCTTATGAGACCTAAGAGATGAAGAATCAAAACACACACAACCCAGCAATTGCTAAAGATCGCCATGTATACTGCTACATAAAAACAGCAGCCAAAGCAGTTTTAATTTTTGCTACTAATACCCATTTCAGTATTTGGTGAATTAATCCAATACATTACATCAGTATTCCTTACTTAGTATGCTAAACTGTTTTAACAGAAGCAAACATTTTCAAGAGAGCAGTTAAGGCAGTAATTTATAAATCTCTTATTCTAGGGCCTTCATTCGTCAGAAACCCACGCATACTATCAACACTGCACTGCAATTCATTGTATTGGTGATGGAAATAAGCAACTGTCATATTTCATACTATTGCCTTGATCCTGCAGTTTAATACCACTTCAAAATCACACTTTTTTCTGATCCATTTTTTCCCAGACATTTTCTTTCTTTAGATGGGGAGAAAGAACAGGAAATCAGTTCTAAGCAAGTATGACTCAACAATAAATAAGCTTGCTATTTGCATTTGCTCAGACAAACTTAAATATACATACTTCTCCAAAATTAACTTTACATCCATAAGTATGCATTCATGATTTGTGTATTAACAGAAAAGTCTGTCAGCATTCTTTATTGTTACAAGATTCTTTTTGCCTATACACAATTTGAAAGAACTTCATATACATTTAAAAAGGCTTTTCTAAACTCCTTAAATATGTATGCAGGCGAATGCAACTCAAGAACCACACTGGAAGAAGTGTCTGATAGTAGAGGAGTGTGGGAAAGGGGCCTAACTGCAGTCTCCGAGCCCACAAATGCATCCTTTCATGTTTCTGCTATACACCAACACTTGCGATGAGAGCTGCAATACTATCCATTTTTGATCACGAAAGCTCACGTGCCACGTAACAGATGCGCATTATTCATACGTGGACTCACCGTCCATATTCATATGTGGACTCACCGTCCGTAACCCAGCCGACCCCGTGGGCACCCCAACCCGGGACGGCTGCGGAGACCGCTCCGGCGGCAACACCAGAGCGCACGCACACGTCCCCCAGGACCTCCAAACGAGGGAGAGGCCCAATCCGAGCAGCTGCACCGCTGTGTTTACGGAACCACTCGTGTTCGGCGAGGCACGTCCCCTCCGGAGCCCGGCTGAGCAGCCCCCACCCCGCCGCGGGGCGTGCCGGCAGCCCGGAGCCCGCCCGGATTGGCCTCGCCCAGCGGCTCTCGCTCGGCCCGGGCGCGGCCCGGCAGCAGCTGGGCTCGGGCCGCGCTGCCCGTTCACCGAGCCCGGCGCGTCAGCCCGGAACTCTGCTGACATCCCCGCGCTTCAGGACTCCGGCCCGCCGCGGCCCCTCGGCTCCCACCCACCGCCGCGACGCCCCTCGGCCTCCCCCCAGCCCCCATGCCGCTCGCTCCCGAGGGAGCCCCTAGCGGCTCCCTAGGCGGGCCGGCAGCCCCGGGGTCTTTACAAGGCACGGCGCTGCCCTGCTCGGCTCCTCCTCCCCGCGAAGCCGCGGTCCCCGCCGGAACCCGCGGCCCGAGCCGGCTCCGCACTCACCCCTTCCGGGCCCGGCCGCACGCCTCCCAGCGGCAACCACAGCCTGCCCGTCGCCCTCAGCACAGCCAATCCTCTCTCTCGGTGCTAGCGAACGGCAGCCAATATCTGGCCAAGGGGAAAAGGAAAAGACCAATTCCGACCGAGGGGCGAGAGTTACAGACGCGTCTCTCCCGACCGAGGGGCGGAGTTACCGGCAATTGCTGCATCGCGAGGAGGGAGGAAGGCCCCGCCCTCAGGCCGGAGGCCCCGTGCTGAGGGACCGTGGGCTTGTGACGTAGAGAAAGGAGGCTGGGACGTGCTCTGTGTGCCCTGGTGAAGCTCAACCTGGTTTCAGCTATTATTTGTGCAATTTTATTTTTTTTTTAATTGCAGTGATTAGTTAGTTCCTCAGTTCCTTGCTCATTTGCTCTGTCCAAAGTATTTCAGCTAACAGAGTCCTGTGTCACTTCACAGTCTCAGGTGTCTCTGTGCTCCAGTGGCAGCTGAAATTCCTGCACAAACAGAGCTGAAAGAAGTGTTGGATGATGGATGTAGCCTGCTTCCAACTACAGCCAAAGTGTTCAAGTGTTATCCACTACTTAGCATTGTGTTTTGTACGTGCTGTACACACAACATTTCCACTTAGGAGTGGATCATGTACAAACAGTTATACCTTCTTGTTGACATATGGTAGCCAATAAACCTCTTTTTTTGTTGTTTTGTTTTGTTTTGTTTTGTTTTTCCCCACAAGCAGGAAAGCAAGTTTATCTCAACAGGAGGTCTAATGAAACTGGGTTTCCCTGAGTGTGTCCCATGCTCCAGCTGCTGCCCAACAGCAACCATCACCAGTCACCCATTTTATTACAGCCCTTCCACACGTCTTTTACCTCATCTGCTCAGTTCTTGTTTCCTCCCATGTTAAGCAAGACAGGAGTCAGGATGCACTTTGCTAGTATGCATATACCTACTGAAACCTAGGAAGCCATGTAAAACAGAAAAACTGGTGAGTTCATGCTCACAGAATTCCTAACTTTGTTTGCTTTCTCCTCTACATTTCTTCTGATTTTTGCAAAACTTGCTGAATTGTTATTGCAGTGTTCCCTCCTTTTGTTAATTTTTCACTAAAATCAAGTAGAATTCAAAACAAGTAAGAAAGTATGCTGGTGGATACATAGGCAGACTGACGGACAGGTAAACCAAACATATACATTGCAGTATAGAGAAGGACCACCATAGGCTAGTGTTAATAGACTGCCTACTCAAACAGTAGAGTTTAAATCCCTCAGCAGCAGAGAGTATATAACTTAGAAGTTGCATTTCTGTTGTAAATTATCCTCTTGCAGAGCCCAGCATAGATGAGCATATACAGAGCAAGAGAAAATAATCAGATGGGTTATAATTAGCCTCTGTAAGTACTCTTCTTGGTACATTAACCCAGCAATCCATGGAAATACAGCAAGAGTATTGGCAGTGCATCTAACTGGAAGGACACTACTCCCGTGCAAACTTGTACCTGAGAAGCATGTGTGAACTCTTCCTGAAAACTTTCTTTGCTCATGAATGATTATATTTCAGTGAAGAATTCCAGAAATTCATGAAGCCTAACAGTTTCTAATGAATTTTAAATGGTTGGATGAGACATCTCCACTCTGCTGAAGCATCCATATTGTATTCAAAAGACTAAATAAACACATAAATAGAAAGATTTGCTACTTGAGCTGTGTTTAATACATCTAAGTGAGAGGCATGTAGAATTTTGTGATTTTTTAAATCTTGACAGTCTCCAAACCAAGCTTTTTTTTTTTTTATCAGGAAGCTGTGTTATAGCTGCACATACTGATGCTGTGTCCAGTATGAGCCCAGAAAACACCACCGCATCCAGGAGCATCATCCTTTTCACAACTCCAAATTATTAGGTTTTGTAGCAAGAGAGGAACATTATCGTCATTCATCAAGTTCATCCTTCTTCCTAGAGATATTTGAATAAAAATATGACAGAATAGTAAAAGGCAGATATGAAAAACATCAGGATGATATGTTCCTGTAACAAAATTCTATTGCAAACTGTAGGGGTGTGTGAAGGGAGTGCACCTGCTCCTTAATGGGTATCTGGGCACAGGCCTTTTTTAGTGCCAGAAAGGATAATGAGAAAGGAAGGAAGCCATAAATAAAAACACACAAGGACATGGACCTAAGAATGGATAAAGTAGGCAGTATTGGGACCCAAACGTGGTCAGCTACATGGATTGATGAAGGTATGAGAGAGGGTGTGAAGGTTTATTCCAGCTAGGTTGTCTGGCTGGGGCCCTAATCTGTTGGGAACCTGACTGAGAAAAGGAGGTAGTATATGTGGGAGGTCCACATCTGCTGGCAAACTGTGAGCAGAGCTTAGGGGCTACAAGTGTGGGTGTCCATGGGACAAGAATGTAAGCACAGGTGTGTACAGCCAGCCATGAGTGGGAGCAGCCAGTTAGCAGGGCCCTGTGGGTGGGCAAGGGGTCTGGAGTGCAGGCAGGCGGGCTGGGTGGGCAGAGGGGCCATGTCATGCAGGGTGTGGTGTGTGTGTGAGTGCTGGTCACCAGGGGACATTGCAACAGGGGCTGCTGGCTCTGCCGGCCCCCATGGGAGGGGATGGGCTGTGCACTGTGGGTATGGGTCCTGTGTGCAGGGGCTGCTGCAGGTACCCTCTTATCCTCCATTCATATGGCTGTAAATTAAGGAAAGCATTGTGTGTTTCAGTTAAAAAAACAAACAAGCAAAACAAATCAACAGTAACAAACAAAACAGGTAAAACTTGAGACAAATAAAAGATTCAGTTGATAGAATGAAGATAGAAGATTTTAAGTTAGTTAAAATAATTTTGATGAAGCACTGAAAAACAGCAAAGGGGTGCTGCTGAAAAGGAATGTTATTCAAAATACTATGATTTGTAACTGAAATGGTCACAATAATTGATGAAGTTTGTCTCTAAGAACAGACCCTTGGATTAGCTTTTAAATACACCTGAAAATGTTTTGTTTGTTCATTTCGAGAGCTTCTGCTTTTGGTAAGTTAACCAGGAGAACTGGAGAACGCCTAACAATTTTTCCAAAAGTGTTAAGGTTTGCTCTTCAGAATAGAGTGCAAAATATTTCAGATGCCAAATCCCAGAGAAGCTGAAGTAATTCAGTCAGTGTTTACTTGAGCTGAGTACAGTGGGCATGTACTAAATGAAAGACAGTGTTACATCTCCAAATTTTTGTACAAATTCTACTTTGTCAAGGCTGCAAGCTTGCCCGTCCCTTCTGGTGCTTGGTTAGTAAAGTTAAGGGCTTTTGTCAAGAAGACCTGGATCCATGTCCAATGTGGGCTCCTTCGCTGATAAGGGCAAACAAAGCTGGAAGCAAGGACTTGCACCTCCTTTCCCCTAGGTAAGCTTTCCACCATGGCTGTACAAGTTGCCTTATTCTGTCCAACACTGCAGCTTTGCAGCAGCTGGGGCTTAGGCCAGTCCTGCACCTCTGCCACTCTACCCTGGCCAAGAGCTCACTAGAGATAAATGAATTTTAATCTCTTAGGAGCAAGATGAGTTGAGAGGTATGCTATGTTATCATTGTTGATATCGTGGAAATGATTAAATTAAAAAATAAATCCTGGCCTAGTCAAGGAGAAAGAGCAAACATTCTGGAAAGCTCTCTATCTCCTCAAAAGCTCAATAAAAGTGTCTTTTGAATTTGCACAGTGCAAGCATTTCAGCTGCTCTGTGAAGATAAAGATTACCGTGGCCAAGCTCTGAGAAGATAAGGATTACCTTTCCTGAGCGGAGGTAATGGAAAATGTGCCTGTGCCTCAGAACTCCAGCCCACAGCCTGGCATTTTAGCTTCAGTCGTCATGGAAGGGTTCGTCTTAGTGTATTGGTGATCTGTCAAATGTATTTATAAATATCAAATCAAATTGTGCTCCAAGGCAGGAAGATGCAAGTTCAAAATTAGACAGTGTTGATACATTTTTATTTCTGACTGTATTTTTGGCAAAGACAGTGTGACCTGGGAATTGTGTCACTGTTGTGCAGTAAAGTCTGCGCTTAGTATTTTTCCAAATGATTCTTTCAGCCTTTTTATTGACACTCCTGAATACACAGTTGCTCAAGATAGTTCTTTTTTTCTTGAAATAATGACAAAATTGATCTGACAAAAGGCAGATCTACTGGGTTAAGGCACTCATACATTTAGTAGGTGCCTGGATGAAGACTAAATCCTAAACCAGGAAAAAAACTGTATGAGTCACAAGTTGGGCAAGCATGTATTTCAAACTCTTATATGCAATTGTTCTTCAGAAAGTACTGTGGAAAAAACATATTACTTCGAAAACTGCCTGCTTTTTGTGAGGATTTCCATATTTGTGTCAACAGGAGTTGTTTTTGTTTTGTTTTGTTTTTCCTAGATAGAGTGAACAGATTTTTTTTTTTTTTTCTCTGTTTCTGGTCTTCCATTGCTTAAATTAAATAAATCCCAGCCTGTATAGTGATACCACTGTGTGAGGCTTTTAATCAAATTTCTCAGTATTTCAGGTTTTTTGTTTTTTTTTTTTTTTGTTTTTGTTTTTGTTTTTTTCTGAATTTGGGTGCTCTAAAGTTGTTGCTTTGGTGTTTTTTGTTTGTTTGTTTGTTTGTTTGTTTCCCCACACTATCTGCTGTCTCCACAGTTATCTAGCTAAACAAATTAACAAAGAGAGATAGACTTTTTTTAGGTTATGATTATCTCATCACCAAGGTGACCTGAGCTGAAGATACTATAGTTCCTTCAGCATTAAAATAAGAAAATTACATTTAATAGTTCCTGGTCTTTCATACCTTTTAGCAAATTTTCCTCAAAATCAAGACCACTTGAAGATGTTTTATGTGCATAGTGCTATAGCACTATAGCCGGTTGTGCTATCGTGAGTTCTTATGTGAACAGCTAAGGAGGAATTTTGATGTCTCCCTATAGATATCCACCCTGTAATTATAAAGTCTCTAATCCTGCTACCCTAGAGAACCTATGATGACTGCCTAACACTGATAATCTTGCTGCACAGAGAAAAGAACAGGGTCCTCCTTGCTTAGCACCATAGAACAGAATTGTGTCGGATGCTTTGACTGAAGCTATGAATTCTGTACTTGTTTTGGAAATAGAAACAAACCTCATGGTTTTTCACTGGTATTTTTACCCCTTTTATTAAAATAAGTCTAAGGAAGGCAAATACTTCCGTAACATAAACTAATTTAGGAGGAAGGTAAAATCCGACTGTGCTCAGATATTGCTTAGTTAAAGAGTGAACTGATCCAAAAATTGATGCTGTTGACTTAGTAGAAAATTTAAATATTCAAATTCCATGGTTCAATATGTCGTACCTGCAGCTTGATTTCCCAATACATCCAACTGTTTGTCTGTCTCCTTCAGTTTTAAATTTCTCTATGTTTCAAAGGCAGTGAGTTGTACAGACTGCAATGAGAAAGGAGCAGCATAGTCCACCGTGTCAGATAACTACCATGTTAGTTCAACATCATTTTTTTTCATCCACAGAAGACTAGGCCTGCCAGAACTCTCATCATAGAACAGCTGATTTTAAAATGATACAAGCATCCTAATTAGCAGAGGAGTTGAAAATTCAAAATATAAACTTTCCAAAATAAATAGGGTGGTATAATTCATTTGCAGAAGATTGATTTTTTGCCAACAAAAATCTGTCTGGGAGTTATTATAGGAATTATCTCGATACTTATCTTCATTCTGTTTCAGTAAGAGCACCTGTAATATTTTATTGATGTAACTAGCAAACCAGATGGCAACTTTACTAAATCTTGGAGAAAAAAAATAATTGATTTTTGTGCAGTCATTATGTATGACAACTAGGAAATTTTAAACTGGATATACATATTGATCCAGTCAAGCCATCTTGTTATGTATGTTGATAATCTGCTATCCTATAGGTTGCTAGATATTTTTCTGTCTTTCAGAAACTACTAGCTGTCACCATGTCTTTTATTTGTAAGACTTTAGGAGAATGTTGGCAGAATCTGAAAGTTCTGTGTAACTCATACAAGCCTCGCAGATCCTGCTGTAAAAGCCAAGCTTATTTTATTTGTTCTATTACATGTTTAAACCTAATTTGTTTTTTGGCAAGGAAAGGGGACCACATACATGGCCTGAATAATTTTATTTATTGAGCTCTTAATCTTCCCTGGCCAGTTGGATTTCTTATTTAAATAGAGCCAGTTAATAAAGATACAAACCACAATTATCTCACTTAAAACAATTGCTGTAACATGCAAAATTGCTGCTGAACTTTTCTCTTTTTACTGCTTCCCAACACTTTCAAACAAAACACGAATATTTTCTAGTGACAATATTTTAATGTATCGTCTAGAGACTAGGCAGGGAAGAATGTTTTCATTGCAGCAATATCTCATCTAATGTCAATGGAGAAAAGTCTACCAGCAACCATTCTACCTTTATAAGCATGTAAGTTCCAGTATTTTCCACCTACCAAGTATACGGAAAATTTATCAGTCAGCTCTGATTAAGAAGTTGCACCACTGGGCAGATTTGAAGAGACAGCAGTCAGTCCTGTGTGTTCCAGAGATAACATAAAAAATGAGATCCAGTACAGTTAGTTGTCCATGCATAAATCAGGATAGAAAATAAATATGGTGGCAGTAGCCTTGCCTATATCTGCCCTCAGAAAAAGGATTTATAGAGAAACTAACCAACAAAACACACAGAATTTGGCTTTCATATTTTCCCATAGCTTACAGCATATATTAAAGTAAGTCATTGGAAATATTGTAACATGTAACATTGTTATATGTAGAAAACTTACATATTTTGGAAGCTCACTGATGGTGAGCTTTCTTTTTTTTCTTCCTCTTTTTTCTTACTTTTCTTTCTTTCTCTCTCTTTTTTAAATTTCTTTTTACTTTTTCTTCTTTTTCTTTTCCTTGTTCTCTCTCTCTTTCTTATTCCTTTTCTCCTTTTTCCCCTTTTCTCTTTTTCTATCTCTTTTTCCTTTTCTGTTTTTCTGGTGCTTGTTTGTTTGTTTTTGTTTTTCTGTCTCTTATTTTATTTTTTGTTTTCTTTTTCTTTTGTTGTTGAATGAAGACATTTCTGTATAGATTTTCACTGTGAAAAAGTGACATTTTAATATGTGTACATATGCAAACCTGAAGCACGTGAAGAATTTACACATCATAGCACCATGCACATATTTATTATCTGTTATGATCTACTGCATGTTTTCTATTTTCTTAGGGGGAAAAAAAAAAAAAAAAGAATAAAAAGAATAAAAAAGCCCACATTGGTGTCCCTGATGAACTCGTGGTGGATGAAGGTGAGAGGAATTCTTGCAGTAAAAGAGAAAACGACAGCTTGTGACCAGAGATGTATGTTCAGCTGTTGTGGTGCCACAGGACAGTTCCTCATGTGCTGCCGTGATGCTCTGCAGGGGGTGGAGAAGTGCTGCCCTGCCGTGCCTTTATGCAGCTTGACTTCCAGGAGTACCAAAGGATAGAGCTGAACGTCTGCCACAGCTGATGGACCGTCATGATGCTCCAAAGTATCCAGCTACTAAGTGGGATGACACTGGGAGGTCTTCACCGGAAGCCTTGGGGCACAAGTTGCAGAGGTGCAGGGGAAGCAGTGCTTCCTACATTCTTTAAGCAGGCAGCGTGGCCAGAGCAAACCAGAAACGTTCGGCTCCTCAGGAACGACGCGCCTGGACGGCGGAGCGCAGCGCAGCCGCTGCCCGCCCTCCCGCACCCGGCCGCCAGGTGGCGCCGCGGCGCTGTTATGGTGCCTCGGGCGTCCGGCGGCCATCGAGCGGCGTGCTGCGGCCTCCTGCTGCCCTCCTGGGCGCCTCCGGAAAGCTTTGGGGGCGGAGGCCGCCATCTTGCAAGAGCGGCCCGGCCCGGCCCCGGCTGGTGAGGAGCGGGGCGTTCTTCGTCGGTTTCTAGAGAGAGCTCAGAGCCCCGGCTGGTGGGTGAAGAAAGAAGGGTCAGAACTACGTGCTTTGTGAGGCACGTGGGAGTTCCTGCAAAGCAGTCCGTGTTGGAGTAGCTATGGGCTGATAGACAGTAATTTCATGACACCACGGTGATGCGGTTGCCTTTGTACAGGGAGGAGAGGAGCACCGTTGGATGGTTAACTCAGACCCTGCGTCTCAGCATGACAAAGATTACAGTGCAGATTACAGCTGTCAGCGTGTCACACAGATACCTCACCGTTTGTCTCAGAACAGCTACCAAAGAACTGTTGGGATAATTCTGTGACCATCGTACAGGCCTCGTCTGCTACAACTGGAGCAGAACATGGAGGGGAAATCCGTTGAATGCCAGATTGCATGGATGTTTGTGCTGCTGAGCTAGCGAGGGCAGCAACAATAGTGTGTGATGTCACTTCTTATCTCCTGCCTTGCGGTAATCCACAGCTGCAGTTGCTGTGGGATCTGGACATATGGTTAGAACTCATAAAAGGCAACAGTCCGTAAGGTCAATAGACATATGTCTGAAAGGCCAAAGAGTTAATGTGCTGAGAGGTCTGTAAAGCAGGAAGCTGAAAACAAAGTGAGTATCACTGTTTCCAAGAAGGGAAAAAGGCTACATTTGAAAGGCTGGGGAGAAGTGCACTTCAAAAAATGTTTTTTTACAGATAAATATTTTTTTAATTAAATGCAGAACAAAGTTTGTGTGCAGTTCCTTAGTGGAGTAAATTTCATTGAAACAACAGACCACTTCAGTTTTCTAGAAGGTGAGGGAGAGCTAGAAACAGTTTGGGTATCAGTCATATTGTTGACTGCTGGCCCAGTGAATATATTTGGATGTTTCTCACTCACTGACTTCTGCATTTGTCAAAATGTTTGTCTTTACAGGATGTGCACATATACATTGTGAAAACATCAGTATTCAGAAGTGCTGAAGCTACTGTATTAAATACAAATGTACATCAGCATTAGGTATTCGGGACATTTCTAACTTTACTGTGCTGTTTCAAACTCCAGACATAATTCAAAAGTAGAGATAGGTCATTAAACCCAGAGGTTGTTAAGTAATGTTGCAATTTGATCAGAGTTCCCTCTGTCAGATAAAGAAACCATTCAAAATTGGCAGGTAGTGTGGATAGCAGGCAAAATTTATTGGGTTTGATAATTTATTCTGCTCCTGGTTTGCTGGCTTCATCTTGGACTTAGTGCCAGAAGGTGCTATAGATAAAATATAGAAAATATAATATAATATATAACTGTAAGAAGAATTCTGAGGAGGGGGCTGCTTGTTTGGATGCCTTTGACTTTGTTCGGCCTTGGAAGCCAGGTTGCCAAACTGTGTTTCTTTTCCTACTGTCAGCATGTATTTCTGGTCTACTGCAGTGTGCAACAGTATGAAATCCTCAGACCTGTTCGTCCTTACTGTCCTTTTAATTCTCTTTTGTTGCCTTTTTGTCTAAGTCCTCTTTTATCTTCTTACTTGCAGAATACTAGAACCAATGTTATCACTCAGACTAAGAATAGAAGCAGGTGACCTTGACATGACTCTTCAGACATTTAGAAATCCAGTTCATGTTCTTTCGATAATCTATACAGATTCTCTGCCATTTATGTCTCAGATATAACCCCTAACTTTTCTTCCTTCCTTCCTTCTTTCCTCCCTCACTCCTTCCTTTCCTTCTTTCTTTCTTTCTTCACTTCTTTTTGTAACTTGCTTCGTATCTTTTTCTTTCCTTTGCAGACTCTGCGGCCCTTCATGTCAACATTTAATATTCTGCATTTTCTACCATCTGTTAACACATCCCCTCCTTGTTTCAGATATATTGTGTAACATATCCTCTTTTCCCCATCACTATCTCTGGTTGCTTTCTATCTCAATTTTGTCTGGAGTAGAATAATTTGTTCACTAAACTATGTATTAGAAGTTTTCTGCAATCTATGTCTTTCATTATTTGTTCAGCGTATAGTTTTCTCCTTAAAGCTGGTGGATTTAGAGAGTTGCAAAGCACGTTAACCACAAGCAGTCAGCCACTGAGACTCAGAAACATTTTACCACAGTGGCTGTGCATCATAATCTATTTATTTTATAGTTATCAAAGTTCTTCTGTACCATGCATATCGTTGGGAAGTTGACTGGAAAGTTTACTGGGAGCACAGCTCAGGTAGCAGCTGGGATAGCTAGGGCTACAAAATGAAACAGTGGCTGTCCTTGAAAATAGAAAACTGCTTTACAAAAATACCGTTCAAAATAAAATAGCACCTGAACTATGCTTTCCTATATTTTGATGATATTATATGTTGCATGGTATCCTACTGCTAAATGCAATGCTGCCTTTTATAGGCAGAACACCAGAAGCAGTTCTTGCACGTGTGCTTTGCTATAGATCTGGTCTAACAAACTCTCAGTTCCCAAAACATGAAGAGGTCTTTTTGAACATCTGTTCTTTCATCATGCAAATACCCTGGTATAGTTACAGCTAATTCCCTCTGAATAGTACTGCTGTATTCAGGAGCAGTGGCAGGACGCTCAAGCTACTAGTCTATCCATATTCACAAAAACATGAAGAATAATAGATTTTTACAGCTGTTGCTTTTGGCATCATTTCTGCAGATTAAACATGTCTTTTAATCATGTGGGGTTTTGTAATAGGACTTGTTTTAGGACTTTGTACTTGGTTTCTTACATAAGTTTTGCTTGCAGTGTAGGTAGAAACTAAGGAGGGAGAAGTGATGAAAAAAGCATGATCTGCTACTTGCTGTGGGAAAACAGCATCTCATTTTCAGTGCTTGTGTCCATGAATAGTGATGTCCTTGTGACTCAGCACTGCTATACAGGAAATTACTATTTAGTTTTAAGGAGCATATGTGCAAATGTTATGTTCACCAGAAATAAGACAGTACTCTATTTAAATCTACAACAGGTACAAACTTTACCTTGTTCCTAATGTACTGTAAATTTTAATTACATAAAGATTCATTTGTAATAAAAGAAAAAGTGTTTGCAAAAGTTACCATTCAAATGGAGAAAAGAGCTCAGTGATATAATGCTTTATAAAGGTGTTACCTCTTCTGAAAGTTCTTTGAACAGTTTTGAGTAATTCTACTCCTTTTCTCACAATAGCCTAGCAGAACACGTTCTGAAGGATTATTTGCTCTTGTTTTTCCTGCAGATTATGCAAATCTAGCAAGATGTGGAACCTGCCCCCAAAGAATCCATAAAACACATGGAGTACTGTCGTCGTTTTAGTTACGTGACATTCTGCAAGCTTGGCTTATTTCTTTTAAACTGAGGAAAAAGCTTCTGCATACCAAAGCCAGAAAGAAGTGTGCATAGGTGGACGTAAGTGTTTAGGCTTTAGAAGATGTGGGGGTAAAGTGTAATAATAACACCTGGAATTTAGACATGTGGCTAACTTTGCTCAGACTTGCAAGAGGATCAGGTGGTGTTGTGAGATTTCTTTGTTAGTTTCATTTCTGTGTGTCAGCCATACCAATCTGTCTTTGGATCAGTACACTCTGAACTTTGAAGCAGAACTGGGGTATACTTTAGCTGTAATGTGTTGTAAGTCCTCCCAGACCAGCTTTTTGTGAGGTAGCTTGGAATCTGAAGGAAGGTGGCTGAAGCCAATCTTCCTATGGTTTGTTTTCTCTCATGGAGTTCATTTAAGGTAGTTTCTGATACATTGAACCTTCTTCTTAGTAAAACAGATCATTTTTCTTAAGCAGCAATTTCTTCCTACAGCCATTTGCTGCAGTTGTATTTTATTTTGAAGGAACAGTTACTGCTGTCAGAGCATAACAGTTCCAATGACCATTTTTAATTTTTGTCCACTTAGAGGTCATTTGACTTTGCTATAATGTAGCCTGAGAGAGGAGTTTTACAGCCCAGAGAGAAGATGAGCAGGAATTGCTCCCAGAGATCAGATGTTATGTAAGAGCTGTGATAAAATACAATATTTCATATAGATCCTCCTTACCTCTTATTTTTCTGTCAATATAAATAAAATCCTTTACTGGATTCTTCAGACAAGAAACACAGTTATTCCATCTGGTATGTTGCAAGCACTTTACAAAAAGTGGTGCAAATTGTGATATATCTCTTAAAAAAAAAAAAAAAAAAGCAACCCTATATAAGTTACACACAAACATAATAAGCATATACACGTGCAAATACAAGCTCATGTCACAAACTAGCTTGTTCAGCATCTCAGCTGTCAGTGTGACAATGGTTAAAACTCGCAGTAAACAAGGAAATTCATTTTAGAAACAATCTTTTCCTATCTGAGCTATTCTGACCTACTCCTATACTTTGCTAAGAGGCTTCTCTAAAAATTACCTCTGCTCTCATGTCTAAAAGGAAAGGTAAATAAATCTTCACTCACTCCCCCAACAATGAGTTGTAGAAATTGGAATGACTTCCAGAAGCAATGTGAGGTCAGATCTCCCCATTGGTTTTACTGCCTCCTAAAGTGTCATAGAACTCAGCACAAGTTAGAGCTTAGGAAGTGCTGTGTTCTGCCCCTGCCCTAGTAAGACCAACAGGCCTCAGCGTTGGCTCTTGATGGACAATGTTTGTGCAAGATCACCGTAAGTAAAAGCAGTCTTACAGCTTTCTATACAACCTGGGCAAACTGCAGAATTTCTGTGCACTTAGACATGAGATAGTAACTGAAAATCCATGGCTACTTTTTTTAAATTTTTGCTGAGAGAATCATATGTTTTTTTGATACTGAAGTAGTCTACATTTCCTGTAATGTAGGAGAAAAAAGAAATAAAATTTTGTATTCCAAGGCTGGCTGGGGAACAGCAAGATGACAGAAACAATTCTAAATTTGCACTATTTACAGTGAAGCAAGAATGATATTTACATTCTCACCCAAGGGACTTTGGCTTTTCTTTTCACCTTTGGCTTTCCTTAACTGTTGCAAAGAACTCTCCTGGAATTTCCATTATCCATCTATCCTCTACACCTGGATTGCCTGTCAGCTGTTGAAACCTCTGTAATACATTTCAGACAGAAGTTTGACAATTGAAATAGGAGTTATGGTTGCAGGTAATCTACCTTGTTCTTGGTCTAGAGAAGCTATGAGTTAAGGATGCTTTCCAGAATCTGGATAAGCATTGCCTTTCCCTCATCTAGAATATCTTTACTGTGTCCACATTTACACATTTGCTAAACAGTGCAAATTTGCATAGGTGAGTCTGTAGAAGACAGATTATATTCCTGTTTTGGAAAAATCTTTGGCTTTCTTCATCTGCTCAAGGATTATTCTCTCATGTTTTTACCCACCTCTTTTCCGTAACACAGACTGTGAGTGAGTGAGAGAATTAGTTTTAGACAAGGTTGTAACAAAAAATCATTCAGCTGATTGATGGTTCCTTGTAAGGAACTCTGGGTTAGAATGTGTCTAAGATTTGTTTAAATTGAAGTAGAGGCTGTGCCTCCCTGAGAGGAAGAAACTAGAATAGCAGTAAAATGTCATATAATGCACACCTGATGAGTTTAAAATTGGTCCCAAAGGGAAAGGGATTAGAAATGTAATTTTAATCCTTCATTGAAAGAAGCATGGGCAGGCTATTACTTGTGTTACACTATATAGTTTAGTGTCCAAATAGATTTGTTCCTTAAGCTACTACAAAACATGATACATTTTGGGGAACTAGGAAAAAATAGAATGAAATAAAAAGGGAAAAAAAAAAAGGATATGTGCAGGTTTTGCTATATATCACACCCAGTACTCTTTTTTAAGGAGAATGAAGTACTGGTTTAAGTGATAGAGAACAGAGAACATGGGGCAAACAAATTCTAAGCCTGCTTTGATACCAAAGTGAGGTGAGCCATGAATTTCAGTATTTCTGCTCTCCTTACATTAACCTTTGAATCTACAGTCCTCATGCTTCTTGCTGGGAGGAAATTACTTGAAGATGGATACTTTATAATCCTACTCTTCCTCTCCAATCTTTGCTGGTATATTTCCAGAGTTCATTTCTGCAAATGTCATCTTATATATAATGATCTTCACTGAATGGACAATATTTGCAGCAGTTTGAAACCTTGAAAGCCAAGTTATTATGGGAGATAGGGAGCTTAATGTTTTGGTGAATTTAGACTCAAGAATATGTGCAAACCTCTTGGGAGAATTTTACTCCTAGCAGATATATATATTATTGAATTGGGCTGCAGACATTGAACTGTTTTACTTGGAAAGCCTAACTGTATTTGTGTTGCTGCTGACTGCTGAGGAGGTTTTTTAGAGCAATGGATTGTTTTCAGTACTGCTTTCTTTGTTTTACTCCTTGATGACTGTCGAGTTCAGCAATCTTTCTCAGTATTCACATATATAATCTGCTCTTTTATGTTGACCCATGTCAGTCTGATCTTTCTTGTCTTGGATACCAAGACAGGATATCTGTAATCTTCTTTTCCAAAGGTCCTCTACCAGTGAGCAATGCCTGTGATACCCTTTGCATCATTTTGACATCATGCACTTTGCATTATGTAGAGTACATCAAGGAATTTGTGATAAAAAAACAACAAACAGTATTATTTAATATTGATATGATTACGCTGTACCTTATTTACAGAACTCCTAGATTTACCTTGAAATTCAGCTGAATAAATAGTTGATAAAAGAAGTAATATCTTAACGTGAGTGAACTCCAGAAGAACAACAGGAGAAGCTGAAGTTTTATTTCACTACGGTTTCTCCAGATTGACCTGCTTTTTATACTCAGGATTATTAAGAATTATTCATAGAGTCATCGTTGTGTTTCATGCTGGTAAAAAGCTTGATCTGAAAAGGCTGAAAATGTGCTCATCTTTTCTGAACCCACCTTGTAAACTGTAATCTGAATGGCTTCCACCAGTAAAGCCTGAGATAATATAAAGGTTGAAATGATATCAGCCAATAATATGGAATGATATTCATCAAAATGTGCCATGAAGATAATTCATTAGATTTTACAGGGTAGTAAAAGTCACCGAGAGGTGTGTGTGTGTGTTTATATGCATAGTGTGCCAGAGCTGAATAAAAACCCATGTGTGATGAGTGTTTCTTCCTCTGTACCAGCCTACCCACTGAGCTGGTAATTATTCTTGCTTTTTATCTAATCGTTGTAAGACAGCAAACAATCTTTTCTCCTGCTTCTGTCTCTTTCACAAATTACACAAAAGAAGGTCTCTGCATTCTGAATCCATTTTTAATTTCCTTCTATCCTTCACAATTAATTTAAAACATTAGATTATATATATACAGTAATTAATGCTCTTGAAAAAATAATACTGTTTTTATGAGATAGTTATACCAATTTCTTATTCCTTTATAACTGCCAAAAATCTGAGTAAAAAATCCATGAAAGGTGAAGTAAAAAATCACATTTGTTCAATCTGTCAGAATATTCAGGAAGACAAGAAGAAATAGCTAATCCTTACTTCACTCAAATACAGCAAGCCGATTATAAAATAACAGAGAAGGGCAATAATGGTAACTCAATTTGGATTCACAACTCTGAAACACCTAACAAAATATGGTTTTACAAATCACAATGCTTGAACTTCAAGAGAGCCTAAATACCACTAACACTGTAAAATTCCACGTAGAGAATAAAACTCATTGATTTCCCTTTAAAAAATCATCTTTCTTGAATCATTTTGAATGGGTATCATTTATTTATAGATAGCAGTATATGAAATCCACGAAACTTTATTTGTGGCATATATAACTGAATGAAATGAATATTAATTCTTTGAAACATAGGCAGTTTGTTTTCCCTGTGTTTGTACAGAGCACAGTATTACCAGGACATTATGAAACCTTAGTAACAGCACCATTCATTTAGTATTCCTTGTGGTAAACTGTATTCCTTCATAATTTATCTTATGTTTTACAAAGTATCATATAATGTACATAATAAATGTATTAGAAAAAATTATCTAGTAATAGCAACAGTAGTAGTATATATTCCTGTCAGTACTACTATGTAATAGATTACCATTCCGTTCAAAGGAAAAAATGGATTTGTACCAGAAAGCAGCACATATTTATTATGACAATATAAAAACGAAATCAGAGGAAAAGCAAAACTGAGAATTGCTCATAGTTCTACGAATCAGAGCGCATCTGTTACTGAAACACTAATTTAAGGTGATGTCCATGCTTGTATAATATGCTAATTCTTTTCTTCTTATAGTAAAACCAGAATGAGATAGAAGACCTGTGGTATATTACGAGAGGCTGATATCAGTCAGTAGCTAGAAATACAATGAGAAGTAGAGAAATGTTCCAGAGAAGAAGATAGAGTAAAAAAAAGAGGAGTATGAAAAAGCAGAGGTGGGAGAAAGTTGGAATGGTGGATGCATAGTAAAGGAAGAAAGCAAAGCCAACAGACAGGGATTTTGAATAAAGATTTCTGTCTGAAGTTGCTTTAAGTTGCTTTATTCTCCTTAGGCAGCTACTGAAATCTTGCAGATTGCTACTGCTAGGGTTTTCAAACATCTCTCAGGTTTGTCATGGACGTTTATGTCTTACCTGTAACCAATCATTATTCTTCCCATAGAAGATTATTATTTTTCTTTAGCTTACAAAGAAATCTTACAGTTATCAAATTTGATTTATTCCATGTGAATTGTTTGTGTGTGGAAGATTTTGAAAAAGGCATTACGCAGTCTGCTAATAGACTGGCAGTATAATATCGTCTCTCCATCAAATCGTGCTTTAATTCATATTAATCATATTCAAAATTGCCTTGGTACAATTAGATTAAAAGTAAATCAATTAACATCATAATGGCAGTCATTGCTTTTGAAGTAGAATTACGAACATTTTGTGATATAATGCATCTAAAACATATACTAAACAAGATGGACAGAATCAAAAGCCAAAATGAAATGAGTCATGTATAAATGCTGGGAAGCAACAAAGTAACCAGCATCCAGAAAGGAATGGGGAGAAACCACGTGGCTCGAAACAAAAGGAAAACAAACTGGGTAATGGAAGGCATGCTGTGCAGAACAAGCGAATACAAGCAGAGTACGGTCATATACAGAAATGACTGAAATAAGATATGAAACACAAGAAAAGAATTAATGAGACGGGCAGAAAAACGGGGTCCTGAAGTGCCTAATGATAGCACTAAGAAGGGTGAAGGAAATGGAAGAACAGTGTGGCTAAAGCAAACATGCTGGACTGAGCCTATCATAATGTTGTTTTTGCTTGACGCTTCTTTGAAACAGTGGAGTTTTTGTATAGGGGTGTAATCCTAGACATAAGGATAAGAAAACAAAATCTCTGCACCCTGATAAGCCATGAAAGAAATCCAAATGGAATATTGAACTCTGATTTTGAGAGCATGTACTGTGTAGAGGTATAGTGGTTTTGTTCTGCCTTTTTTTAAATAATGCTATTGTCAATGCAGCATCACAATGTCTGTCTGATAGAATAGGAGGGTAGGAAGAAGGAAGGGAAGGGAAGGGAAGGGAAGGGAAGGGAAGGGAAGGGAAGGG